GGCTGGGCAGCCGGGCTGTGACTGCGCTCTGTGGCCCAGCGCTGGACCGGGGCCATTGGGGCTGGGCAGCTGGGCTGAGACTGCGCTCTGCGGCCCAGCGCTGGACCGGGGCCCATCGGGGCTGGGCAGCCGGGCTGTGACTGCACTCTGCGGCCCAGCGCTGGACCGGGGCCATTGGGGCTGGGCAGCTGGGCTGAGACTGCGCTCTGCGGCCCAGCGCTGGACCGGGGCCCATCGGGGCTGCGCAGCCGGGCTGTGACTGCGCTCTGCGGCCCAGCGCTGGACCGGGGCCATTGGGGCTGGGCAGCTGGGCTGAGACTGCGCTCTGCAGCCTGCTACCTGACCGGGGCCCATCAGGGCTGGGCAGCTGGGCTGTGGGTGTGTCTGTGGAGCCAGCAAAGGTCCAGAACGAGGCAGTGAGGGCTGAGATGGCCAAGCAAGGCCAGCTCCCCACGGACCAGCTTAGCAGGCAGGGAGAAGAGGGAAGGGGACCACCTAGGAAAAGGGAAGCCCATTGGTGAAGGGACAGGTGGGCATCCACGTCAAAGTAGCAGGTAAGATGCTGTGCCACCAGGACACAGGCTCTGCCTCGAGGGGACAGAGAAAGCTCTAATGAAATGACAGACGAGGACACAGGCAACCAGAGGCTCACAGGGACGGAGGGAGCAGGGCAGATGTACACCAGGGGCTCACGGGGGCGGTGGGAGCATGGCAGACGCACACCAGGGGCTCACAGGGGCGGTGGGAGCAGGGCAGAAGCGCACGAGGAGCTCAAGGGGGGTGGTGAGAGCACGGCAGAAGCACACCTGGGGCTCACAGGGGGGCAGGAGGAGTAGTGCAGACACGCACCAGGGGCTCATGGGAGGGGGGCAGTGGGAGCACTGCAGACGCACACCGGGGCTCACAGGGGGCGGGGGGAAGCACTGCAGATGCACACCAGGGGCTCACGGGGGCGTTGAGAGCACTGCTGACACACACCGGGGCTCACGGGGGCGGAGGGAGCAGGGCAGATGTACACCAGGGGCTCATGGGGGCGGTGGGAGCATGGCAGACGCACACCAGGGGCTCACAGGGGCGGTGGGAGCACTGCTGACACACACCGGGGCTCACGGGGGCGGAGGGAGCAGGGCAGACGAGCACCGGGGGCTCACGGGGGCGTTGAGAGCACTGCTGACACACACCGGGGCTCACGGGGGTGGAGGGAGCAGGGCAGACGAGCACCGGGGGCTCACGGGGGGGTTGAGAGCACTGCTGACACACACTGGGGCTCACGGGGGCGGAGGGAGCAGGGCAGACACGCACCAGGGGCTCATGGGGGCGGAGGGAGCAGGGCAGACGAGCACCGGGGGCTCACGGGGGCAGAGGAGCACATCCAGTGGGGAATGGCACTGAGCCCAGGTCACTGGCTCTAGATTTGGTGTCTCACAAGCAGCTTGAGCTGCTGGACAAAACCAGGTAGAGGGATGTGCTGCATTTGGAGCAGAACCAGAGAGCGCTTTACGGAGGGAGGGCCAAGTTACGTGGGGGCTCCGCCCAGTCCAAGAGCACTAATCGTCTGATCTGCCGGCTAAAAAGAACTTTCAAAAAGCTTGTCTCAACAGACGCTTGTTTCAAGAGTGAGAAGAAGAGATCAAGACCTGCAGTCGAGAAGGAGGTGATGGTGCTAAGACAGCTGTCAACAGGCGGGCTGCCCATCCTACTCCGAGGCCAGGGAGAGGGAGAGGGCTGTGAGCGCGGCGACCGCCCGCCAGGCCGCCGTCGGCAGTCACAGCTTTCCCGGCTTCCTGGAAATCT